GAGAGAGAGAGAGAGAGAGACAGATGTACGTACATATGTACATACATAGAATAAACGAAATGAGAATATTTTTATCGCAAGTAAGATAAACGTACGATGCGTGTAAGATACTTGTATCGCCAATATCTCAAGTGATTACCATCAGTGATTACGATTACGCATGTTAACATCTAGAACTATCAAAATGGTCGAAACAACATTCAACTTACGATTTTTATGTGATTTTTCAATAAATCAGTGAAAAAACAGTTTGAACGGTAAAATGTGCATTTAAATTCAAAGATTTCTCGTGAAATGCTATGTAAAGAGCTGAGAGCTCGGAATATCATAAAATTTCTCCAATTTCTTTACCCTACGTTTGAATACCTTTGGTGGAGATTGTCAATTGCTAGCTTCAATCCGTCGATAGTTCTAATCTGTATGCTTACATTGCGCGTTAAAAATATACGTATGTACTTTCTTTCTAGTCTAGATTCGATAAGCAGAAATTCACGGCAGATAATCTCGCGTCCAAGTATTTAGATTGTCAGGTGTTTAACTAAATTAGACTTAAGGAGTGTTGCATTACGTATATTCGTACTGCGTGTTAATCGTGATTATTGAACGACTGGTTGTTGGTTGCTGGCGCAGGTGCTCGATGGAAAGCGATGTCGAACTCCGAGAAGCAGCCGTACTACGAGGAGCAGTCGCGGCTGTCGAAGCTGCACATGGAGAAGCATCCGGACTACAGGTACAGGCCGCGGCCGAAGCGTACCTGCATCGTGGACGGGAAGAAGATGCGCATCTCCGAATACAAGTCGCTGATGCGGCAACGGCGGCAGGAAATGAGGCAGCTCTGGTGTCGTGACAGCGGGCCAGAGATGAGCTTCCTGTCGCCGGTGGGCTCGGACCTGAGCACGCAACACCATCCTGGGACGGGGGCCGGGCCGTCGGCAAGGCCTAGCGTGTCGCCGCCGGCCACCATGTTGAACGGCGGCGCGGCTGGCCCCAGTTCCGATCATCCGTCGTTCTATTACCCGCAAGACAGTTTGTCGCCCACGGACATGATGAACTTCTCGCCGGAAAACTCCGGCTCGATCGGTGGCTATGACGCCAGCCCGCGGCACCACGACGAGGATTGAACCGCGGCTCCGGGTCAGCCGCCATGGCCGCCCGGAGCATCATCATCTTCGACAGCAGCAGCAGCCGCAGCATCGGCGTCAACCTCGAGACTCGGCCACGAGTTGTTCTGGTAAAACAGAACCAGCGGTGGTTCGCGTGAAAAACACACACACACACACACACACACACGTACACACACACACATATATATGTGTGTGTGTGAATACGTATGTGTGTATCGTCGCGTGAACAGAAACATGGAAAGCAATATACATACGTACGTAGTCGACTGTCGCGGGGGAAAGGACGAGAGGAACGTTCTCGAAGAGTGAGTGACTGAGCGTTTCGAAGCCTCGCTCGAGAGGTTGTGATACATACACGTAACGATTCAATTCTGTGCCATCGTACGACGCGTGGGAGGGGGAGGGAGGGGGGAGGGGGGACGGGAGGGTCCCTTCCGCGGATTCGAGCGGCGATATGAAGTCTTGCCTCCTTGGGTCCGCCGTCGTCGCGTCGTCCAACACGATTTCAATTTGTTGCGAGATACGTTGTTCGTCGTGCACGTACGGCTGAGAGATCGCACGTAACACGGTATATACCACCATGTCTCGAACCTGTGGAACACGACAGTGCCACGACACACAAGCGTTGGTCGCGATGGATGTCGACCAATCAACCCCTT